TGCATCTTGAAGATGGGTTCGTCCTATTTTGATAATTTTTTCAAATTCTTTTACTTTTTGGGCCAATACCTCTGCGCAAGCGTCCAGAGCTGGCAAAAGAGCCTTATGAACTTGTGCTGCACATGCAATATGTATCACTGTGGGAAATGTATCGTTTGAAGACTGCCCCATATTCACATGATCATTTGGATGAACAGGCTCTTTAGACCCTTTTACACCATCAAGAAGTTCTATTGCTCGATTCGCAATGACCTCATTCGCATTCATATTCGACTGTGTGCCAGAACCCGTTTGCCATACTTTTAAGGGAAACTGATCCTGTAAAGTTCCATCCTGCACTTCCTGTGCCGCTTGCAAAATTGCCTTTCCAAGAGATGGATCCAAGTCGCCGAGCTCCATATTTGCTTTTGCAGCAGCAGCTTTCTGAATCCCAAACGCATAAATTATGCTTTCAGGCATTTTCTCCCAACCAATAGGAAAGTTCTGTATGGACCGCTGAGTTTGCGCTCCCCAATAAACATGGGCATCCACTTCAACTTCTCCCAAAGAATCTTTTTCAATCCGCTTAACGGCTTCTTCTTGTTGTGGCATCATACATCATTCTTTCAAACGTTTATCAAAGTCCATGTCCGAACAGCATACTCTTCTCTCCCCTCACCGTAAATACATGGAACACGCTCTTGAGCTTGCGCATCTTGGCGCACAAAGCCAAGAAGTTCCTGTCGGTGCTGTTCTCACCTATAAGGGAGAAATCCTCGCAAAAGCTCACAATGAGATTATCCAAAACAATGACCCAACAGCTCATGCGGAACTCCTTGTCCTGCGAAGAGCTGCGGAAAAACTTGAAACACCCCGCCTAGTTGGGGCAAATCTTTATGTGACCTTAGAGCCTTGTCCAATGTGCGCACAGGCAATCGCTTTTGCCCGAATAGAAAAAGTCTTTTTTGGCGCCTATGACCCCAAAGGCGGTGGCATAGACCATGGCCCTAAAATCTTTGAACAACCCACCTGTCACCATGATATACAAGTCATTGGTGGTCTGCTTGAAAAAGAATGCGGCAGAATCCTAAAAGATTTCTTCCAAAAACGACGAGAGAATTCCTAAACCCTTTTCCCAAGAGCCCCCATAAAATTTAGAAGCGATATTGGCCTCAAACCAACTTCTATTTAGAGATTAGAAAAAGTTAAAAAAGACTATCTTGCGACAAGGAGCTTTCTATCGAATGTCTTTCTATATAAACTTGATTAGAAGAAAGCCCTCCTTGAGCATTCACTCGACCAGAATCCAGTTGTGGAAAGCCCCCTTCTGACATTTCCAAACCCTTTGAATGAGCACTTTT